AACTGGTATCGGGGGAGAAGCATCCTGCTTAGGAATCTAGGGTCTCAGTACTTCAGTGTATCAAGAAATAAGACTTATTTTCTTCTGATCCCTCACTTCACTCAGAGGGCTTATAAGAATGCTTACTTGAGAGGCTGTGGGTGTATTTTGTCCTTTAACCTGGCACATGCTGCAAAATGATCACTTGTGAGGTAGTTCTTAGGCAAATTGAAAACAGACCACTTAAGAAGGTGAAAGGTGGGTGGAAAGTGTGCTACGCTACAGGAAAACGTTATAGGATTAGTAAGGGATGACAAAGAATGTGAAATGGATGGATTTCTTCTCGCGGAGAATAATAGGGAGTCACTTGATTTTCATTGATTGGGAGCTGCATTTTTACTCGAGAATTTCAGCAGCCCTCTTGGAAAAATGTGCTCATCTTTGGTGCAGACAGAATAACATCGCAATGAACAGTAGACACATCTGTTTTTTCTGTCTGTCTATAATGATAGCTTCTGATCCTAGGAACCTCCTATGTGGAGAAAGAGCTGTGGGCCAGGCCCTTGCTCCCTCTGTCTTACTTGCCCATATGTAAAAAGACCAGATATATGATAATAAAAGTGAGGTTTCTGTCAACAGATGTTTATGAATTTTGCTTCTAAACCCTTGGGGAATGTTTGTGTGAATATTGTATAGACATCATCTCAATGCTGGGTTAATAGTTGGTTTAAAAAGGGAAAAGTGTTCTTTCCAAAATGAAACAAGGGCTCGTATTTGTGTTGCTTGTGCAATTACTCCAGATGCTCATTAAGAGCTTAACACTCTTTGTGTTGGGATTAAACTCTCCTAGCAGAGGGAGGAAAGGGAAATTACGTTCCTGCAGCCACACTGAGCAACTTGAGTTCATATACCTCAGCAACTTCAGTGAACAGAAAGATTGAAGTTCCCTGCTATTCTCTGGGAAAACTTGCGGCTATTTGGGGCCAGAAGTTTTACTGTTTGCACTATTTCGTTGCTCTTCATAGAATCCTTCCCCCAAAAATAATGCTTGCGGGTGGTGGAAATCAGTGATTTCACCCATATTCTAAATGTTTTTTAGGAACGCTTGAGGCATGTACAGGATGAAACTTTTGAAGGAATCTGTATCTGTCCTCTGTCTTCGGCTTTAAATTGTATTTAAGCATATGAATATCAGATAGTCATGTGTCTAAGGGTTTGTTTCGTGCGTACAGGTGCAGATATTTCCACTTGGTGCATTGTATATGCAGTACTTAAAAAAAAAAAAAATGTGTGGATTAAATGCGGTTCTGCATGAGAGTGAGCAGCTCTCAGAATCAACCCGTAGTTTCTACATCCACCTATCACACTAGATGCTCACTTGTCCTTAAGGCAGCCTGACAAGATCTTTCCAGGAATCAGGTTTGGGGAGCTGGAGGAGAGGATCTGTGTTGCTGTACAGATTCAGCAAGTACCTGCTCCCGTCTGCAGGCCCAGGTCACGTCCCTCAGGGCAGGCTGCCCACTTGTCACTGGGTGTGCCCTCGAGTGGGGGGAACAGGGAAAGATCAGATCCCTCTAGTCAGGATAATGGCCTAAGTAGTGTGGCATGTAATTAAAAATAAATCTTAGATTACATGTTTGCCTTAATAGTAGTTCTAACTTTGCCTTCACCCAACTTCCAAGTGTTACCATTTATATGGAACTATGGTATTTCTCTGAGTTTTCAGTTTTCTTTATCCTTTTCTCCTGTTGTCTTTTGCAACTCCATTTTTACGCCTCAAGGCCTGACATATACATAATGCTTCTGGCTATTGTATCATAAAGTAGAAAGAAGAAGAGTGATACTTATCTTCCCATTTTTAACTCTCAAGCAAACTCTGGTTGCTCTGCATTAGTTTCAGAATGACTCAGCATTAAAACATGTACATGGGGGTTTTTTGTGGGTTTGTTATGTCTTGATTTTAGGCTGATTGCTAGCCTTGTGTACAGCCTCATTTCTTGTACAGCTTGGTTTTTTACTTTTTCTTACTCAGCCCCCACAAAAGTAGGTGCAAGATCTTCGATTTCTGCAGCATCCAGCACCTGAAGGACCCTTCCTGTATCTCTGTTCCATAACAGCTCTTTCTTTCACTCCACATTATCTCTTTTGTTCACTGCTTGTACAGAATTTCTTCTACCACTCTATTACTTCTGTAATTCTCATATTTATTATAAACTCAGTTAAGTGTTTGCAGTTTGTGTGAGAGGTGAAGAACGATATTGAAATTGCGTTCCCTAATAAACATATCATGACAGCAAGTTTCTAGTTCTAGTCCTTTAATTTTACATTTTCTTTAACAGAGTACTGATGTGATAAAATAGAGGGTATGTTAAATTATCAAAAAGAGGTTGTCGAGTACTCTGGCAAAACTGGCAGTTGCACACAAGATTTGATTTGGCAAGGTTTTGAATATATATGCTCTTACTGTATTATTTCAAATAGACAAACTGCTCAGTTCCTTGTGATTGGACCTGAAACTTCGCATGCATTTTCATGTAGAGTTTGAAGCACACGTGTTTTCCAGTGTCTAAAAAACCCAAACAGCTTCAGTTCAGTCATTTACACTGCAAGAAAAAACTCCATAAAAAAGGCTTAAGTTGGTAGTAGGCTGAAGAATGAGAGAAATGATAATATGCTGACACCTAATATTTCTTCTAGTAGTAATACTTCTAGTAATTTGCACGTCTCTGTCTCCACTTCAAGGTGTTACTAAGAAGTTAGTATTGTCTCTTTTTTTTCTTCTTCAGTAATGTGCACTGATAATTACGCTCTTTTCAGGACAGGGTGTGGGCCAATGTGGGAAATAGTTTAAACTGCGTTATTGCCATGGTGGACAGACTACTTGAAAAGGACAACATCAGCAACATTAAAGAGGGTGAAAATAACCCTTCAGCAGCAGATTGCAAGGTGTTGCATACAGATGGTAAGCAACCTTTTTTTTTTTTTTAAATCATTGGCTAGAGTAAGTAAAAATGGAAAAAGTCACAGAAAAATGATATAGAGAAGAGTCAATAGTATCTTTGATGAGAGTGCTGATAGCAAGGTTTTGCACAGTTGTAGCCTTGAATGATGGAAGGCTATTTATCAAATTACAGCTCCATTGTGTGCTCAAACTGCTTGCTATGCTCAATTTTTGTGCTACAATGAAAACCTTTTGAAGCCACAATGTTTTCCTTTGAAGGCTGATGTAGTTTATTTTTATTGAAGATTTTACTTGAATGTACCATTTTAAGAAAAAAAATTGGAGTGTGTCTTACCCCATAGGAAACTTGGAAGGAAAGGTGAACATTCTGTTTCAGTGTCATTCTCCTGCAAACCCTTCCACTTTTCTGAAGTGGTGTACTGATTTTTGTTTTCTGATTTGCTAAAATTCATTTTTCCCTGAATACAGTTGTCAGTCTGTGTCAATACTGAAGGCTAAGTAGAGTGATTCCATGAGATGATGCGAAGAAAACTTTGTCCACAGCAGGTCCTT